CAAGAATACCAAATCAAGTATGCCGTTTTCAGTCTTCTTTAATGATAAGCAGGCTAATACTCCCGTCGAGGTAGCCAATCTCTTTGCAGAATTTTTTTCCTCTAATTGTGGCTCTGATACTGATATTGTTTTTGAAAATTACCCTTTTTCATATTCTGCCCTTAACTTTGGTGCACTACTTGTGTCTGATAGTGACGTGGAAGAAGCCATATTTTCATTAAAGCACTCCTTTAAATTGGATTCCGATGGCCTTTCAAGTGCTATGCTCAAACGGTGTCCTTCCACTAACAATCCAGCCACTAACAATCCTGTTCAACACATCTCTTTCGGCCGGGCATTTTATTGATGAGTGGAAAAAAGCTTATATTACGCCAATTTATAAAAGTGGCAAAAAGAATGATGTTTCGAACTATAGGCCTATATCAAAGTTGGCTACTGTTCCAAAAGTTTTTGAGTCGGTTGTGAAACAGAGGCTTAATTTTGTAGTTAAAAGTTTGATCAGCCCTTATCAGCACGGCTTTGTAAGTGGCAGGTCAACTGTTACTAACCTTGCTATTTTCATGGAGGATTGTGTTGCTGCGTTGCAGACGGGTCTCCAAGTTGACGCAGTATACACAGACTTTTCAAAGGCGTTTGATAGAGTTTCGCACAAGGTTTTGATCAATAAGTTATCGCGTTTAGGTTTCCATTCAACTTTCCTTGAATGGATTCGTTCCTACCTTTCCAACAGGTGTTGTACAGTTGCCATCGATAATATACTTCCCAATAATTTTGTTGCCACTTCGGGTGTCCCTCAAGGTAGTATCTTGGGTCCTCTCTTATTTCCCCTATTCATAAACGATGTTGGGTCATGCTTTCTGTGGTCTAAGCATTTATTATATGCTGATGACCTCAAGGTTTACGCAGTGAAAAAAAAACTCACAAGGCGCCATATTGTTGCAATCCGAGCTCTATAGACTACACTCATGGTGCTCTCTTAATTGTTTATCTCTGAACGTCAGTAAGTGCTCATATTCTACTTACACCAGTGTTACTATTTACGGTGGGTGATTCCTAGTATAAAAGACGATGATATCTCTATTAACTATTTATTCAATGCTATGCGTGCTGCAACGTAAAACCGGAAACAGCCGGGCATCTTTTTTATATCTAAGCTAGTTCATATATACATAGGAATAATGACAGGTTAGGAGTGGCCAGATTACTCTAACATTCCCCGCTTATTTTTGAGAGTTTATTTACAAGATTACTTTGAATTTAATTAATTACTAGTAAATTGAACTCATCGGTCAAATATCAAATCTAACAGTCGGTTTCCTTGTACGCTGTGATCTTCGAAGGCCTATATCTTCATTGCATGCTGAAGGAGCTGGAACATCTGTTAACGATGATCTTTTACCCGTGGTATCCAATTCTCTTTTGCTGTCCAAGGCGTTGGTGTCGATCTCGATGTCCTCAGGATCTATGCTATCGTTTAAATAGTCGTGTTTATCTGGACGCATTTGGTTTTGATGTAGTTTTATGGCACCATTAGATGTTTGGATAAGTACTTTTGTTGCCCATAAGTTTGTGAATATTTCCGCGTATCCACCGTTGAGATCCGGAGTAGTTACGAGCAAATATATTTCCCCCCACTGCAAATTTAGACTTAGTTTCCACCTTTTCGTTGTTACTTGGAAATAATGCTGCCAAAACGATTCTCGGTTGACGACCATGCAGCAATTCTGATGGCGATTTGCCTGAAACTGGATTTGGCGTAGCACGATATGCTGCTCATCTCTCATAATTTTTGTGAAAGCCTCTTTAAAAGTTCTTACCCCCCTTTCCGCAAGTCCATTTGACGCTGGATGGAAAGGAGCAGTGGTGAGATGCTTAATGACGTTACGCTCGCAGAACTCTTTAAATTCGCGCGATGTGAATTGCGTACCATTGTCTGTAACAATGGTTATTGGCAGACCCTCCACAGAGAAAATGCGTTGGAGTGCAGCGATTGCCGTCATAGTTGTTGCCGCTGCCAATTCTATTGTATATGGGAATTTCGAATAAGCATCTACCACGATTAACCACATACGGTTGAAATAGGGACCCGCAAAATCCAAATGAAGTCTTTCCCAGGGACCTGACGGTTCTGGCCAAGGTGAAAATTCTTGTTTTGGCAAATTTGCGCTTGCTTGACAGATAGCGCCAGTAGCATGCACATTTTCAATTTGCCTATCAATGCCCGGGAACCAAACGTAGCGTCTAGCCAACTGCTTCATTCGCTCTTGGCCCCAATGCCCCTCATCAGAGAACGTTTATAAATGAGAAGGCGCATTTTCTGTGTGAACTAATTGCTGCCAGAAATTTTGGGGTGTACTCGGCCAAATACAGCACTCGTCGGCTGCCACCATACCAAAAATTTTTTCGTGTCACCACACTTCGGCCAATTTACCATAGTTCAAGGGGGACAGCAAGATAATAAGCACTGGGCAGAGGAGATGCTTGCGGAGGCGAGCGTGTAGCATAGTTTAAAACAAAACTAAAAATAAAAACGAATAACAAAAGAGAAACAAAAATCTAATAAGCACTATGCAGAGGGGGTGCTTGCGGAGGCAGGCGCGTGCTTGTGTCGGATCAAAACAAACTCTAAAATAAAAATGGAAGTCAGAACGACAAGTGTACAGAAGAAGCGGGAAAACGGAGAAAGGAGCGGGCTTTTGTACATTTGCTTGCTTGCCGAAAATATGATATTTGCGTGAAATCGATTTGCTGATTGCAAATTGATTTTTGCAAACATGTATGAATTTTTCTGTTTCAGCAAAACATGTATGCATTTTTCTATTTCAGCTAAGTTGATAAGATTTTCTGAGGGAATATTTTCCACAATCCATACTTACATACATATATCTATCCACATATATATATACGTACAAACATATATCTATATATTGGAGCATTTCATGAAATTTCATCTATGTATACATGCGCAATAGGCTCTTTATAAGTTTCGTGNAGAAAATGCGTTGGAGTGCAGCGATTGTCGTCATAGTTGTTGCCGCTGCCAATTCTATTGTATATGGGAATTTCGAATAAGCATCTACCACGATTAACCACATACGGTTGAAATAGGGACCCGCAAAGTCCAAATGAAGTCTTTCCCAGGGACCTGACGGTTCTGGCCAAGGTGAAAATTCTTGTTTTGGCAAATTTGCGCTTGCTTGACAGATAGCGCCAGTAGCATGCACATTTTCAATTTGCCTATCAATGCCCGGGAACCAAACGTAGCGTCTAGCCAACTGCTTCATTCGCTCTTGGCCCCAATGCCCCTCATCAGAGAACGTTTATAAATGAGAAGGCGCATTTTCTGTGTGAACTAATTGCTGCCAGAAATTTTGGGGTGTACTCGGCCAAATACAGCACTCGTCGGCTGCCACCATACCAAAAATTTTTTCGTGTCACCACACTTCGGCCAATTTACCATAGTTCAAGGGGGACAGCAAGATAATAAGCACTGGGCAGAGGAGATGCTTGCGGAGGCGAGCGTGTAGCATAGTTTAAAACAAAACTAAAAATAAAAACGAATAACAAAAGAGAAACAAAAATCTAATAAGCACTATGCAGAGGGGGTGCTTGCGGAGGCAGGCGCGTGCTTGTGTCGGATCAAAACAAACTCTAAAATAAAAATGGAAGTCAGAACGACAAGTGTACAGAAGAAGCGGGAAAACGGAGAAAGGAGCGGGCTTTTGTACATTTGCTTGCTTGCCGAAAATATGATATTTGCGTGAAATCGATTTGCTGATTGCAAATTGATTTTTGCAAACATGTATGAATTTTTCTGTTTCAGCAAAACATGTATGCATTTTTCTATTTCAGCTAAGTTGATAAGATTTTCTGAGGGAATATTTTCCACAATCCATACTTACATACATATATCTATCCACATATATATATACGTACAAACATATATCTATATATTGGAGCATTTCATGAAATTTCATCTATGTATACATGCGCAATAGGCTCTTTATAAGTTTCGTGATGCATATGTATATACATAAATATGTACAAACGCGTATATATGTATGCATGATACAAAAAAGAAGGTAGTTCCATTGTCACTCTTTCGTCGCCATATTAACAACCTGATAATTAAGTAGATTGTGACATTTCATGCTACCGTATCCCATATCTAAAATCCTCCAAATTTTGTTATTAATATTTTGTTTATTTACAAACATTTTGTACTTAGAATCGAAATTTGAACAAGCAAAAGGTATTTTATTGGATACGGCTCGATTATTTATACACTAATTTTGGGTTATTGTGTCCAAACGCTTAACCCAAAGCAAAAAACTTTAACACACACGGGTGGTCAAGCAATTAAAAGTTAGATTAAAACAAAGGTTTCAAAATTTCAGATACTAATTTATGAATAAATTCGGTTTGAAATATGCACCTTTTTGTTGGACTGATGAGGGTTATTTTTTCTAAGCGCTGCCGAAAGCCTACAATGTGGAAAGGTATTTCGCGCAAAAATCCTGTTGTTGGAAAAACCCGATTTAACATTTTCTCTGTCAAAATACTCATTTTAACCCATTTTTCAATGGGTCTCCCCGCTCCCGGTTTGCAAGTTACTTGAAAGACATGGACAAAGACAATATCAAAATGTGTAATTTCAGTGTCTCAGTTATATCAGAAACATTCGTATCCGATATATAGAAAACTGTAATAGTCCTAGCTGCCTACATTTTGTAATAACCAGATGACATAATAAAACTAAAAAAAAAAATTAAATAAGTTCACTACAATTTTATTAATATAAAAATAAAGATTTTAGCAAGAAGGTATCGAATTTAATGTAAAATGTGAACGTTTTTAAGATAAGATATTAATTATTTTTAAAAGATTAATGTTAATATAACTATTTTATCTATACACCCAAATTTAGGATATAAAATCTTCTTCAACCAGAAACTGAAATTGGGTAACGCCGCTTCGAGTTTTTTACAATTGAGCAATTGTCAAAAATCTCCTTTTTAATCAAAAAGTTGTTTATTGAAACCATGATAAAAATATAGTAAGGTAGAACCGCTGAGAGTCAATTTTAAAATTCTTGACGTTTCCAAACATTTTAATTTTTAAACTTCCTCACAAACTCACACACACATTTTCATTTTCAATCTCAAGCAACAACAATTTCGAACAATGTCAATTTTTTATTTTCACTTTTATATGCTTTTAAAATGTTGGCAAACTTCAAAAAAAAATCATGGCCGACAAATTGAGAGAACGGTTCTACCTTGCTATGTTTTTATCATGATTGAACCCAACAAGCAAAATAAGCTTAAAGAAAGTCTTTTTTAAGTTTTCAATTATAAACATTAAGCTTACAAAACGTTGATTTTTAGTTTATAAAACGCTTGAAAGTAAGCGTAATATAATCGAAAAGGAACATTGGTTATAAGCGTAGAAATATAAACTTGTAATAAATGTTCAAAAGAAAGCTTTTTATAAGCGTAAAAGTGTAAACTTATAATAAAGGTTCAAAAAAAGTGGTTTATAAGCGTATGAATATAAACTTACTAAAAATTTTCAAAAGAAAGCTTTTTATAAACATTTTTATAACCCTTTATT